TGGTTATAGTTTTCTTTAGTTATTATAAAAGATAAGCTACATATAAGATGTTAGATACACAAAGATAGATGATAGAATATTTTCTTTAAATCTTGCTAAATGTTAATGAACTAAATATTGTAACTATAGTTCTTACTTGATAACTGTTTTGTTATATATTTTAATATGTTAATGGTAAAATCCTGTCTTTTTAGACAGAAAAAAGGAGATGATGGGGAGGTCCTTTTGTGTATATGTTTGTCTTATTGGTTGATATATAAAGTACTGTGGGCCAATAGGGAAGCAAGTTAGGCAGGACTAGGAATCAAGGAGGATTCTGGGAAATGTAGTAAAGAGAATTCTTGTGATCCAGGCAGGAAGTGATATAGCAGGCAGACTCAGAATAGAAGCAGGGACAAGCAGGAAATCGCTCTCTTTCTCCTCCTTTCTTCTCTGTGGAGTTGCCATGTTAGACCAGGAAGACAGGATGCTTGCTGCCAGTGTTCTCGAAGATAAATCTTTATAAAATACATAGATTAATAATTATGGTTGATGATTAAGACTAAGCTAGCAAGTAAGAAATCCTAGTCATTGGCCAGCAGCATTGTACCTAATATAAGTCTCTGTGTGTTACTTTGGGCACCCACGTGGTGACAGGGCTTGGGCAGCTGGTGAAAAAAGATTTATTGTTACAGGCAGAGGAAGGAGGATCTCTGAGTTTGAGGTCATCCTGGTCTACAAAGTGAGTTCCAGGACTGTTACACAGAGAAACCCTGCATTGAATAAAAAAAATCTCCAAAATGAAGAACATTTTTCAGATTTTAAAAATTCTCAAAGGACCTGACAAGCAGAACAAAGCAAACAAAAACCAAACATACACTCTCATGGTCATAAAATATCAAAACATGAGGGTTATGTATAAAGTATGTGTTTTCCACAGAGGTGGTTGACCTGAGCTTGTGGGAGCTCACAGACTCTGGACCAACAGTTGGGGAGCCTCCATGGGACCAACCTAGGCCTTCTGTATGTGTGTGACAGCTGTGTAGCTTGGTCTCTTTGTGGGGATTCTAACGGTGGGATCAGGACCTGTCCTTGGCACTTAGCTGGCTTTTGGGAACCTATTCCCCATCCTGGATTACCTTGCACAGCCTTGATGCAAGGGGAGGAATTCAGTCCTGTCTCAACTTGACATTCTGTGCTTTGTACAAGCCCATGGTAGGCCTGCCCCTTTCTGATGGAGATGGAGGAGGAGTTGTGGGGTGGCACGGATGACTGGGAGGAGAGAAAGGAGGGGAAACTTCGATTGGCATGTAAAATAATTTTTTAAAAGTTATTTAAACAAAATAATAATAAAAAATGAAAATAAATAAAGTAGGGGTTTTAGCACCAGATGTATCTACTGAGGACATGACCACTCCAAAGTGTGGTTGATAGAAAGTTTTTTTTTTAAAGATTTTATTTATTTATTATGTATACAGTCTATACAGTCTTGTGCCTGCATGCCAGCAGAGGGCACCAGATCTCATTCAAGATGGTTGTGAGCCACCATGTGGTTGCCGGGAATTGAACTCAGGACCTTTGGAAGAACAGTCAGTGCTTTTAACCACTAGCCATCTCTCCAGCCCAGATGGAAAGATTTTTATTGTAGATATGAGGGAGAAAATAGTCAGAGGCATCCAGAAGAGTCCCTAAAAGTAGCACACTGAGCATGGCCAGCAGAATGAACTGGCTATGGGGTTCTGAGGGAGGACTGAGAGAGAGGGGACCAAGAGCCAAGAGAGTCAAGAGAGAACATGTCTGAAACAGCAGTATTATATAGGACTGAGGAGCTGAGGAAGTGGAAACCTATGAGCTAGAGAAGTTAAGGGTAAGGGCAGAGTGAGAAGAGCCAGGATGCCAGCATGGACTCTGTAACAGAGACTTGTGATGCTGAGAGTCTAGAGGCCAGAGTGTGCTTTGGTGTGCTAATAGGCACCACAGTTGAAGCACCAGCTCCCCATTTCGGCAGCCATACAGCCTAACACATGCTTACCTGACCTTGCCTTGGTCACTAGGAGGTCAGATGCCTGCCTCATGGTAAGGAACCAATCAGAAGTTAGCTGGTAGTGTTATGCTTTATGGCTCTGGGTGTGCTTTACTGACAAGTGCACAGCAATGACGTGCAGAGCATAGTAATTGCCCTGGGAGGGCCTATGGGCCATAACAACCAGTTGACCAATCAACACAGGACAAGCCCTCCAAGCCTGGATGCACACCAATCTTGAGCCTGTGCGTACCCCTAGACACTCCCCTTACGCTGCCCTATAAGATCTCTATGCCATGCCTTCTTGGCATCTTTCCCAGCCATCTGCCATGGTGGATGGATGAAAGGCCCAAGCTAACATGGGCTTAGCTCATTAAACAACTGCAATAAAGGACTCATTGCTTTTGCATCAAAATGGGCCTCTTGGTGATTTGGGGATTCAGAATTTGGGCACAACACAGTCAGCCATTTGTCCTGATTTTCTTTTGACCTGACAGGTCACAAAAGAGAAAACCATGATCATCCAGACTGAGAATCAGAACTGCATCAATTTCTATAAAGCACACTGGAAACTTGAACAATGGGGCAAAATTTCCAATATTCTGATGGTAAGTTAGTTTTAACCCAGAATCTTTTATCTAGTCTGATAACCAGAAAAGTGGGAAGGAAGACAAAGGGCAATTTTTAAAATTAAAGGCAGTATGAGCCACCCAGTATGGGTGGGGGGAACCAAACTTGTTCCAATGAAAGAGCAGCGAGCATTCTGGCCTACTGAGCCACCACCCCAGCCCACAAAAGGCAATTTTAGATATGCTTATCCATCCTGTCCTCTGCCTGCTGTGACAGAGGAGCAGAAACCTACCTGCTTATCCAGTTGATGTTGTGATTGCTTCCTGTATTCCTCAGTGAGTCAGTTCACCTACAAACAAAGGAAAATCGGTCCTTGGAAGATGAAAAGAATCATGTACTTTTCATGTAGAAAACACAGTTACATAAACCATACAATCAAATACATACTACTTTTTAATGTCATGATAATTATATGAAAAAGAAGCAGTTAAGAAAAAGAGGTCAGAAAGGGTCCCTTAGGGGACAACAGTGAACCATTATTGAGAAACATTGGCTTACGTAGTAGAAGACACTGGCAGGGGACTCAGGGGAGAAGATACTGAAATAGGAATCTTCCAAAGCTGAGGAGATAACTCTGTTGGCAGAGTATTCACCTAATATGAAGGAAGCCCTGGGTTTGATTCCCCCATACATGATAAGCTGAGCATAGTAGAACATGTTTACCCCTTGGACAGCATTTTTGTCCACAGTAAGACAGTAATCATTCCTCATCTTCGGTTTCAGTTACCCACTGTCAACTACAGTCCAAAAATATTAAATGAAAAAAATTCCATAAGTAAATAATTGTTAGTTTTAATTTGGTTTGATTTCTTAAGACAAAGTCTTGCTATGTAGACAAGGCTGGCTCGAAACTCACTTCATAAGCCAGGATGGCCTTGAACTCCTGGATATCCTTCTGCCTTAGCCACTGCATACAGATGTGTGCTTCTGTGCCCAGCTATCGTCAGAAGTTTTCAACTAAGCTGTGTTCTGAGCATTAGATGACATCTATTACTGTCCTACTTAGGGTGTGAATTATTCCTTTCTCCAAAGTATCCACTCGGTATACACTACCCTCTTGCTAGTCACTTAGAAGCAATCTCAGTTGTCAGATGGATGGGCATAGGACCACAGTGATCATATTCAAGCAATGTGTATTTTATAATAGTTTGGATGGTACAAGCATAAGATGTTGGTGATTGGGATATGCTGACAAGAAGCTGTAAAGATTTTGCATGAAAAGATGAATGTACAAGATAATATGAGATAAATTTCATATAACTCTTATTTTAATACACTGTTATAATTATCTTATTCCATTTATGGTTGCTGCTGTGAATCTCTTGCCCTGTCTGGTTTATAAATTAAGCCTTTTAAATCATAGATACTTACATTTATGGGAAAAAACTGTCTGTAGAATTTGGTATTATGTTTCAAGTATCCACCCATAAGACTAGTAAGGTCCCCATAGGTAAGGAGGATCACTGCATAGCTCCCTAAGGTTCCCTAGGATAAGGGGACCACTGTGCATCTCCCTACCTTGGGTCCAGTATCCAGAGCTTATGTCAGAACTACCTAGCTCTAGGCTCCAGGAAGATCACTTCTCCACTGGCCCCTTCTGGGCTTAGCAGCATCTATGCTTGCCAGTTTCATCTGGCTTATAGTTCTTCTATCGTTGTTACAACCATTCCCTTAATATTCTATAGGAACAGAGAAGAAACAATGTGTCCTGTGGCTTCACAGGCTATGAACTTTATAGTACCATGAAAAATGTTTTTAATTAAACTAATAGATTTTTAAACTTCTAGAAAGTACGATCATTTATATATTAAACTGAAATTAAAGTAGTTGTCTCTAAATAATGGAGGTAGAAGGCGGGAAGGAATGAAGATGGTAAATAAACCACATGTCTGATTCTGGAACCAGTTGTATATTTCTTCCTCACGATCTGGAGTTCAGAGTGGTTTTAGCATATGACATAGTAGATACTAGGAAGGCTTGGGAATGAATGGACCAGAAGTCTAGGAAGTGACAAAACAAAACAGGACCATAGTGCCCTGCCTGGGATCCATTGAGTCTCTTGAAATGACCTGGAGCCTCTTCATTCAGTAAATCTAGAACAATCATAAATTCTGGTCCCTGCAAGTCACACATCCTTCTCCTCTTCCATCTGTGAAAGGGCTCCAGGACTTCAGAAACTGGAGCTGTGGTGTTTAATGTTAGGATGCCTTAGGGAGCTTCTTGTCTCCTCTTTGACCATACAAAGCTCCCAGGGAAACCTTGTCCTTCACTAAGGCATGGGGCATCTGAGGAAGGGGAAGGACAGCATTTTCAGAATCTGTTCTTACTCTACAGGGCACAACAGGACACAACTTGGCCCCATGCTCTTTCTTGGCCTCTCTTAGCCCAGCTAATTACAGGTCACCATCAAGGAAAATTATGCTGCAAAATAATAGGGATGACTGGTGCTATATTGACCTGCTAACCAGACAGTGCTGTTTCTGTTTAAAGAAAAAGGAACAAAGAAAACAAACAAAAACCAGACAGACAGATGGGGGTGGGTGTAGAATTCAGGGTTTGTCCTACACATGCATACAGACTATATGCAGTCCAAGACAGCCATGAGTGTAATCCAATACAAAATCATAAAGCTACTTAAAACATCATAAGATTTGCCCCCCTGGACTTAAAATATGACCTAAGGCAATTTGGGTCACACTACTTTGTCTAGTGTGGCTCAGAGACCCCAAAGTTTGGACAGCCTTTGTCTGTAGTAGGGGCTCCCACACTTGAACTTAGACTCCAAGTCCTTTCTTGCCTTTTTATTTGCATTCACTTACTTGCCTGTTTTCCAATTCGGTACAAAATGTAATGGGGGAAAAACAGTGGAGTTTTGGTTGTTGGTGGTGGTGTTTGTCTTGTGTGTAAAATGAGAAGAAGAGGGAAGTGGTAAGACCCGAAGGAAGGGCACATTTTAACTAAAGAGTTTGCTCAGGGAGCTTGTGGGCAGTTTTTCTTCACACGTTTTTTCCTCAGTTATGTTTTCTACTCTTTCCATGCTTTGTTTTTAAATGAAACTCCCTAAATATAAAGCAAAGAGTTGCAATGGTTATCTTGTTTGAAATAAATAGAAAAGATCCAGTCACGTTGGCTCATACCTTTAATCCCAGCACTTGGGAGATAGAGTCAGGCACATCTCTGTGAGTTTGAGGCCAGTCTGGTCTACATAGTGACCTACATAGTCCAGGGCAGTCATGTAGATACCCTGTCTCAAAAAAACAAATAGGTAAATAAATAAATAAAAGCAGAGTTACCTGGACTATAAAGTCACTATATCATTATATTAGATTTGGGTGGGGTTTTTGTTGTTTTCTTTTGCCCACCTCTGTGTTCAAAATGTCTACCAAAAATAAAGTCTTTGTATATTGCTTCCCACCACCCACCCTGTCACACCTGGCATATCTCAGGAGTTTCCAAAGTCCAGCCAGAGCCAAGAGCCTGGAGTTGTGTGAGTTTGCTTTCTTTTCATCACCTCTCCTTTTTATTGTCCGGGAGGAAGAAGCAATAAAAACGATTTTAAAATGTGTTTGCATTTGTTCTTGGTTAGGTTCTAAATTACTTTTTATGTATGTATATTTCAGCTTGGTTTTAAAAGTGTGTGTGAGTGTGTGTGCATGCAGTGTCCAGATGCCTGTGAGAACTGGAAGAAGGCTTTCATCAGATCCCCTGGCTCTTGAGTTACAGTTAGCTGTGGGTCACCAAACATGGGTGCTGAGACCTGAACTCAGAACCTCTGGGAGAGCAGCAAGCACTCTTAACCGCTGAGCCATCTATCTCTCCAGGCCCCAAGAAACCTCCCTTCAATGAGGTTTTGTTTTGTTTTTGTTTTTGTCTTGTGTTTAAACCAACAAATGTGTTTTTCCAATAGACTATAGCATCTTTGAGAGAGGTACTGTTTCTTAGTCGTTTTAGTCCCTTGTGCTATTTCTTAGGTGAGCTGTGATTGATAATGGGAGCTTCACCATTCATCCAGCAAACCTATACTGGGGATCCACTGAGTATGGCCAGTTTCCTAGGCTCCTGGGAAATGAAGACCAGAGCATGGGCTCTGAGAAAAAACTCCACCACCTCCTCCCATATTTATGGAAAAACTGATCAGATGGGGTTGGTAGAGGGCTTTCATGGAACAGTGTATGGTGGCAGACACCAGCAATCCCAGCACTCAAGAGGTAGAGACAGGAAGACTTGTCATGTTGCTGCAACAAAAGATTTGGCACAAGCAATTTAAGAATGGAAGGATTTTTTTCTCACAGTTCCAGGCATTCAGAACATTGTGGCAGGAAGATAATGGTAGCAGTAACAGGAGGCAGCTGGTCACTTGAATCAACACCGGAAAGCAGAGAGCACCCATTCTCAGCCCACTCTTCCCTTTTCAGTCAGTCCAGGACCCAATCCTGGGGCAAAGGACTACCATGTGTCTCCCCACTTCATAACGTATCTTCCCATATGTATCTTCCCACTAGATAATCTGTTATGGGCATGCGCAGAGACTAATCTAGAAACCCCCTCACATGCATGCCAAGACACTGTCTCCTAAGTAATTCCAGAGCCTGTCAGGTTGAAATATTAACTATCTCAAGTCATTCCTGATGATGGCTAGCCTGAGCTACATGAGACCCTGCCTCAAAAGAAAAAAATAAAAAGACCTGATACAACAAATTCTAATCCACGCCTACTCACAGCCCTCACTATACTACAGGCTGGGTCCTATCCTTGAGTGACAACCATCAGGATAAGAGAGGAAACCTAGCATTCCTTTTTATTATTTTAGATTTTCTTTTTTAATTTTTATAGGGGCTGGAGAAATGACTCAGTGGTTAGGAGCATTGGTTGACCTTACAGAGGACCTGAGTTTGAGCCCCAACACCCACAGGATGGCTCATAATTGTCTGACTCCAGTCTCAGGATCCAACACCCTCTTCTGACCCTTACAGGTACTGCATGTACCTGGTACACAGTTACATATGCAAACAAAACACCCGTAAACATATATATATAAATATATAAATAAAATATAAATTCAAAAAAAAGAAGTGTTATTTTTATGTGTCCGGTCAGTGTATACCACATGTGTGCAGGTACCAGAAGACGGTGTCATGTTCCCTAGAGTTAGAATTACAGGTGATTTTGAGCTGCTGGATGTATGTGCTGGAAACCAAACTTGGGTCCTCTGGAAAAACAGTAACTACTATTAAGTACAGAGCCAACACTTCAGCCCCAAAAGCTGGGCCTTCTTGACCAAGGAGCTCGAGAAGAGTCCTTGCTGGCTTTGAGGAATCAATTAAGATCTTCGAAATGAACATGGTCATTGACATGTCCCTGCCACATGCCTTGTGGAAAAAGCAGGCAGGTAGATTGCTCAGACACCACAGCCATGATTTTTAGAGGGACTCAACTCCAGGCTATCGAATCACTCCTTTTGACTATTAATTGTTTACCATGGGCCGGAATGGGCCTGGTTTGGGGGCCCACACATGAAAAGCTGTGGTCAGTGGGAAGAGTAAAATAGAAGCAAACATTTATACAATCTGGAAATCCCATGGGAGCAAATGCTGGACTCTATAATAAAGGGGTGTGAAGCTGTGAGGCTGACTCAGAAGCTGGCATGGAGGACAGCAGTAAACATGGACGGAGAAACATAAATACGTGTCTTGGAAGGAAGAAGGAAAGAGAAAGCAGCCAGGCAGAGGCAGCGTGGAGCACAGGTGTGGGGAGCAGGTGGAGGAGGCCAGAGAGCCAATGGAGCAGAAAGAACACCTCCGGTGAGGTGCCTCTCCGGAGAGCTGGCTCTCCACAAACCGGGTACATGTGCAAAAGCTACAGTACTGTGTCCACAGGTGCTGAAGTCACTGAAGCATTTGAAGTGAGGGAATGGGCCATCCAAGCTAGAAGACTGCTCCAAGGGAAGAGTAGTGAGTCAGAGTGGTCAAAACAGTGAAATGAAGCCTGGCGTGTGGGCGTATGTCTGCAATCCCAGTATTCAGGAAGCTGAGGCAGGAGGATTGCTACAAGTTCGAGGTCAACCTGGACTGCACAGTGAGCTCCGGGACAGGATGGTCTACAAAATGAGACTGTCTAAACAAACAAAACAACAAAAAAACAGTCAAGGCCATAACTCGGTGGTAGAGCCCTTGCTTGGTATTCCCAAGGCACTGGTTGTCATATCCAGTATGGCAAAAAAAAAAAGAAAGAAAGAAAAACTGAAAATAAAGAAATGAAATGAAAGCCAGATCTGATGATGGTTCAAGTCAGTAATTCCAGCACCTCAGAAGCTGAGCCAGGAGGATCTCAGGTTTGAGAACAGCTCATGCATGATACACAGCAATATCTTTCTCAAAAAAAAAAAATCAGTAATGAAGTTAGTAATACGTGAAATAAAGAAACGGCTTAAGAATCCCTGCACATCACATTTATAAAGTAGAGGCCACATTTGGTTATTTGGGAAGAAAGAGCACTTGGGGAGGGGAAAGGCTACCACAGGGGGACAGAAAGACAGAAGGTGAGAGGGGCTGGAGCATGAACCAGGGTCAGGTAATGGTGATGGAGAAGAGGGGACAGATGGAAGATGGACTGAAGGGGCAGAAATGACAGAATTCTGTGGCTCATTGTAAATGGGAACAGCAACAGCCTGGACAGAGAAATGACCCTGAACCTGACCATGTGAGAGATGTATGGCAAGAGATAGAAACAAAGGAGCAAGTTTCACAGAGACTTGAAGCACAGGGAGAGGAGGCAGCTGCTCTTGAGGGGAACAGAGGCAGAGCTCTAGCTGGAGACCACTGGAGACCAAGCTGGGGGAAGGGAGTCTTGGGTCTAAAAGGGGGAGAAATCTACTCATTCTGTACACTGATGGAAATAAGCCAAGAGAGAGAGGGGCAATTGGAGGCACAGGAGGAAGAGATGAAGGCCAGGCAGAGGCAAGCAGGGCTTTCTGTGAAGAGACTAGAGCTACTGGGAGGAGCGGCAGGAAGCATGGATGCAAGGGCAAAAGTGCATTTCCTGTTGGCACCTGTCTCCTCAATGACATTAGGCTGCATCGTGGCTTGGAGTGAGGATGGGAAGTGAATGGGGGAGGCTTAAGGATGGAGGAGAAGCAGGTAATAGTTTGATGTCCAGCAGGTGAGGCAATGGGGCCTGGAACAGAGAAGAAAATAGTGAGTCAGGCATCTAAAGTGTCCATGGGCACCGGCTGGAGTGACCAGGAGGTCAGCAAGCCACCATGACAAAAACAGGGCAAAGTGGGATATTGAGGAGATAAGAAGACCCTCAGCAGAACTGAAAATTCCAACACACACCCCTCATGGTGGTGAGGTGTGGAGAACGAAGTCTCTTCCTTTGAGGAAAAGTTTCAGGGAAAGTGGGAACCTGGTTTGCATTTGAGGGAGGAGGCCAAGAAGCAAGGGAGAGCATTAGTGACATGAGATTCCAGGGGAAGTGTCAGGAAGAAACTCTGCAGTCATGAGAAAGTTACTAGAAGGTTCCATTCTGATTCATGAAGAGCATGCTATCCTTCCCAGCTTTGCATCCAAAGCCAATAAATTTGAGTGGATGGCTGGAATGAATGAATGAATGATGCAATTACCAAGGCAGTAGAGCTGGGTTTTCCTGTGTCATACAGTGGTATTTCTCTTTCTCAAACTAACCATGATTAACTAAGAGCATATCCCCAAGTAAGCCACAACATTCTTTATTTTCCCCCATTTATGAGACAGGGTTTCTCTGTATTGCTTTGGAGCCTGTCCGTAGACAAGGCTGGCCTCGAACTCACAGAGATTTGCCTGCCTCTGCCTCCCGAGTGCTGGGATTAAAGGCATGTGGCACCAACACCCAGCTCATTAATGTCTTTTGTATTTGTATGAGTGCCTGTGTGCATGCATGTGTGTGCACACTGAGGATCATTGAGGGGTGGGTGTCAGGCTTGACAGCAAGAGCCCTTACCCACTGAACTATCTCACTGGCCCTAAATCATGTCCTTCTTTTTTTTTTTTTTTTTGCTCTCCAGGAACATCAAGATTTGGTTCCTGCATCCGTCTGAAAGGCAGAATGCCACTGAGTAGAAGGAGACCCCGCCCAATGCAAAAAAAAAAAAAAAAAAAAAAAAAAAAAAAAAAAAACATCAACACTCCCTGCAGAAAAACATCTCAGCAGACACTTGCCTGGGACTACCTCTCTCTCTCCTTCCTCGGTGGGGTGGACAGGCTGGGACCTTCCAGCCCAGGTGACCAGAGAGCTGCCAGAACTGAGGACAAGAAGCAGCGACTAGTGCTGTTTACACAGTTCTGCCGTGCATCAAGATGGGACACAGTTCCATCCACTTGTTGGTTTTTAATGCCCATCCCATCCCTCTGGCCCCACCTTACAGCTGAGGGTTTTCACTGTCTAAATATTTGCAGCCTTTCTCTGGACAGGCCCTGCTAAACAAAACCATAAGCACCCCCAAGAGTAAGACAGCCCCTCCCCAGGCTGCAGGAAGAGCACCAGCTTCTTGGTTTTATCAGTGAAGCCTTAACCGTGTGGTGAGCTGGTGAGAGCCAAGGGAGGTTGTTTGCCTGGGTGGCGATCTCCTGGAAGACTTTGGAGAAAAGAGCTAGTATTGCAGGCATCTTTGATGATGTTGATGGCCTGCACCGGGTGCTTAAAGGAGGCTCTACTGTCACTGCTCAGCATGTTCTGAGTGCCTCTCAGAGGAGCCAGGACAAGAAAGAATGACACCTGTCCCCACTAGTCGGACACCAAGGCTCTGGAGTGAATGGGTTTCAGTTCAGAAGTGTGCTCTACTACTTTGTGGTTTTTGAGGAGGACCTAACCTGCCTGAGTATCAGTGTTCCAGCCTCTAAAACGGGCATGATAACAGCACTCACCTCTCAGGGTGTTTGTAGGGAGTCCATGGTTAATAGGAACTGAGTGAGAGGCATCACTGGGCATGGCTCCTTTTTCCTCTGTCCTGGGACTGGGGATATAGGGTTGTGAATTGCCGTGTGCTGGGCCATTTTCCTGCCAGAATAGAAGCCCTGAAGTCAGAGCCTGGACTTCCTTCATTTATTATTATTAACAGAGAAGGCACCAGAAGTGTACACAAGTCATTGGTTAACTATTTACTGAGCATGTGCGATGGAATCCAGGTACATGGGTCTTGTGGTAACAGAAAGCCAGCAGAAGACAGAGGACACAAAGTGGATAAAAACCATATCATGTCTGCTCACGAGTCAGTGAACCACACAGGAATGCACATGTGACTCTCTGTTCCCAGATAGGACTGACAATCCTGAGGTCTACCTAACCTGTAGCCCAGGCCATGTACTGTGGCTATTTTTTATACAGGATTTCTGGTCCCAATGACCAGATCTGATGTCTCCTGCCTGCTGCACAGGGGTGTGCAGTACAGGAATCTCACTGGTGATGGCTTCCTGTTTGAGGTTTTCTCCTATAAGGACAGGATAAACCAGTCTAGCCAAAAGGAGCAGCCCAGCCCACCCTCCTGCTTTTTAAACCAATATTTCCTCTCAGTTGAGAAGCTGAATCACAGTGAGAAATAAGGCAGCCCTAGATCAGGCACGGTTATATGGTGACTCGTGCTTACATCCCAAATTGGGAAGTTGATGCAAGAGGACTGTCTTGAGTTCTGAGGCCAGCCTGGGCTACAGAGAACTAGCCTCATACAAACTATAACAAAAAGCAAACCAGGAGGCCCCAGACCCTGAGGGCCCTCCCAATGCTTCCTCAGACTCTTCCAATCCTTCCCTTCCCAAAGCCAACAGGTGCCGGCTTCTGAATGGAATCAATAGTGATGAAGAGGGGAAAGAGGCCTGCTGCTCATGGCTCTTCCAGCTTGTCTCCAGCTTTGGACAGAAATAACTGTCCCGTGCGTGCGTGCGTGCGCGCGTGCGTGCATGCGTGTGGGTGTGTGTTTCTTTTTCTCTGTGTCTCTGCCCCTCTGTGTCTGTGTGTATATCTTTCTGTCTCCCTGTGTCTCTGTCTCTGGGTGTGTGCCTGTCTCTGTCTCTGAGAAAGAAAGAGAGGGAGGAAAAGAGAGAGAGGAGAGGAGCCAGAGCAGCTGTGGATGCCTGCACTGAGTCTGTACCAGAATGGAGCCTGTTAACAGTTGGGTGTAGATAGAGGAAGGATCCAGGTCTTGGCTCCTCCTGCTGAGCTATTTACAGGCATATTCATGTATAGCTACTGGTGACCTCCCCAGCCTCCAATGGATAGCTCCAATCCAATGCTTGCACAGAAGCCCCTGGTAAAACTAAACAAGTCACAAAGGTAAAACTCATGAATCTGGGAAAGAGACTGCAGGGATGCGGAGGAGGGGGAGTTGGTAGGGATGGGAGGGAGATAAGAAGGGTGGCACACCCACACAAGTGTTTTCTGCATCATCTGAAGTGACCTTTGGACAAGTTTATTGTCTTAGCATGGTCAGCAGGCATGTGCATGAAACTCCATCCTTCTCATCATAGTGACACAAACACATCGCAGCAGCAACATAATGGGGGAAGGGCTATTTGGGCTCATGGTTGTAGACTCTCAGTTCTAGAAAGGCGGGCTGTCTGTGGCAAGGGAGTCTGAGGAAATTCACAAAAGCAGAAAGTATGGAGGAGACTCCTCATAGTGGGCCTGGTATCAGGGGTCGGGAGATGGGGATGCAGCATTCTGATGGCTTCTCTACACACATCCACACACACACACACACACACACACACACACACACACACACACACACCCCTGCTATTCTGTCTGTGCCTTCAAACAATAGCACCTTGCCACTCACCTTCACTTAACTCCCTTTAAGACACCTGCAAAGACACAACCTTGGTCAAGTTGACAGTGAAGATTAACCATACAGTGACCTCCTGGCTTGTTTGTTTGTTTATTTCGTTAGGGTATGACAACTTGGCCAATACTCTAGTGAAACTGTCACAAGCACACAAGAAATGGGCATAAAAATGTTAATGGAAGTATTATTTGTAATGTCCCAAGCTGGCAATAGCCTACATGCTCACTGGCAGAAGTCTGGACCAGTAACTTGTAGTGTATAAGCTCACAGGAGGACACTAGAGATGGCAGGTTTGAAGGGACTGTACTTTCTCTCTGTATCCCCATAAGTAAAGCTCCCAAATCAAGCATTGAATCGTGCGCGCGCGCACACACACGCACACACACACACACACACATACACACACACGGTAACCTTCAGAAGGCTAGATAGATGGAGTGACATAAAAGTTGACAAGTATGTAGTCTATAATGTAATAAGTGCTGTGTTTTAACTATGACACACAAACTTTAAAACATACATAATCTTATACATGTGACAGAAACAATACATACATTCACAGTGTAAAAATGTTCCTGGGTGAAACTAACAACCACATTCAGAGAGAAGGATAAAAGGAAGGGACTTGGGAGAGATTACCAAGGGGACTTCAGTTATGTCTGCAATCTTGTCTTTTATTTTTTACATGTATGTATATGCATTTGCATGAGCACACACATTCCATGGCACATGCATGTGGCAATCAGATGACAGCTTTTGGGAGTTGGTTCTCTCCTTCTAGGATGTGGGTCCTGGGGTTGAACTCGGGTCATCAGCCTGGGCTACAGGTGCCATCACTGCCATTTGTTACACCAGAAGATACAGCCCCCGTTCAAACCCTATATCCCATGTAGCAGGCCTGCAGTAGTTCATACGGATGCTTGCTCTACTCTTCTGCTAGCTGAAACCACACATAAAATTTTAAGGTCCATAATATTCCATGAACTTTATTCTGGAGACCCTTGGGCTTAATGTCTTCAATTGCCCTTTAGTTAACCACCCTAACTCATTTACTCTGATGGCCATAGACTTCCTTTCCTCTAGCCCTGCTCTGCCATCCCAGTGAGACATCCTAGGTGGTGAGTTCACTGGCCCGATGCTCTGCGGTGCCCACCCATGGCTACTCTGAGCTCTCTGCAGTGCCCACTGTGGTTACTCTGAGCTCCCTGCAGTGCCCACCCCATGGCTACTCTGAGCTCCCTGAGGAGCCCACCCTGTAGTTAATGTAAGCTCCCTGCAGTACCCACCCATAGCTACTCTGAGCTCCCTGCAGTGCCCACTGTGGTTACTCTGAGCTCCCTGAAGTGCCCACCCTGTGGCTAATGTAAGCTCCCTGCAGTACCCACCCATGGCTACTCTGAGCTCTTCCTTCCTGCTGATCATCTGATCCAAAATCACTCAAGAGCCCTTGACATTCTCCTCCTGACTCCCTGGAGAGGTTTCAAGTGCTACAGAAGGACCAGGGACAACATTGTTTTTCTCACCAGGTGACTGTTCTCAATAACAGGTACCAGGAAGCCTGAGGACACTTATTCAGAATCAAAGCTTTCCCAAGAACTGTCACCAAGCCTCAACTAGAAAGCCAGGGAAACTGCCCACTCCTACTTCCCATCAGGGCTACCTGTCCCAAACTGCCTTTGCCACAACAAAAGCTACCTGGGATCCTTGGGGTGTCAGAGAGGCCAAAAGTAGTGGTCCTGGAGTGACTGCCCAAATTATCCTTTAAAAACACCTTTTAAAAAATACTGTATCAGTTTAGCCTTGGAAATCTCAAGAAAAAAACAAAAGCGGCTCTTGTTTTTCTCCATCAGAGCCTTCCTGACCCCTACCTCCTTAGCCTCTTCTAATGAGAGAAATGGACAAGTCTGTGGGTGATACAGGGACAACTAGACTGGAAGCTGGAGAGGAGGCAGGTGGTCTGTCCTGGTATCACTGCCCTTCAGCAGTGAACTATTTCCCATCCACAAGGACGTCACTGCTCCACAGGGAGCCTGGCAAGAAAGCACCTGCCTCCCAGATCTTACACCCACATGCATAGGTCACCTACACACAAACAGATAACCCCATCAAGTAGAACAGAGAGGCTCTGTGTTAGACAAAGAAGCAAAGTGAGAGATTGGGAGAGAGGTGGCCTGTGACAAAGGAGGCTGCCTTTGATCAGTCTGACCTCTAAACACAGTAAGAGAGCTAATCCTGGAGGCATCGGAAGGAGATATGGTCTAGAAAGGACATATGAGGAGGTGATGGGAGATATAGATGGTGAGACCGCAAGGGACACACCCTGTCCTAGTACTGGGGGAGCGATGTCATGGCTACCATTTCATAGAAGGAGAAACAGAGGGTCTAGGAGGTGATGGGCTCACCACAATCACGCAGCTTAGTAAGTGGTACTGCAAGCCAGGTCTGACATCAGGAACGTGGTCTTACAGGTACCCTAATCCTTATTTTAGATAGCTTATAGTGTACAGGTGACCATCCCTAGAATCCCTGGGGGACCTGGGATAGATGACACAACAATATATTAATATTTAACACATATTAGTATTTCTGCACTAAAGCCTTCCTGCTTCTTCAGGAAGTCATTGCAGCACTACAGATCATCTAAATTCAGGGACTACAGAGATGGCTCAGTGGTTAAGAATGTTTGCCGCTTTCTCAGAGGACCCAGATTCACATATTAACATCACATTTAAATGGCAACTGCAAGCTAACTTTCAGAGTTCAGAGCCTTCTATAGCCCCTCCAAAGGCTTTGAGGACACACAGCATAGAGATTCTGGAAGTAGGGGGCATTAAAGGAAACACACACACACACACACACACACACCATACACAGATTTGCATCCAGGCACTGCTCAGTTTAAGAGCGTAAGCCAAGAACAGCCAAGGGGCTGGACCACACTGGTACACACTTCCTGCTATGGGGGGTGTAAAGCTGTAGTGCCCTGGGTCAAGAGCTGCAGGCAGCAATGGGACCTGGAGTCTGGGTGGACCCAGGTAGAAAACACACAAGGGAAGACAACAGCTAGGTAGACAGCCTGTGGGATGGAGCCGGGGAATGAATAGCTCAGTTGAGAAAGTTGCGTAAGCACAAAGACTTAACTTGATAGACAGCCTGGTGCCTATTGGGGAGGCAGAAACAGGCAGGTCCCTGAAGATTGTTACCCAGGCAGCATGGCAAT